CCCCCTCCCATTCCTCAGACGACATGTCCATCCTGGGCCTCCTGCAGTGCCACAACGATGCCACCCGAAGGTTGCAGGAACAGCAACTCCTATTCCGCTTGGGAACCCTGCAGCCCAATGGTATCAATGTGGATTTCACTTGTTTCAAAATCTCCCCTCCCCCCACCACATCCCAAAACCAGTCCAGCCCGTCCCTGCCTCCCTAACCTGTTCTTCCTCCCACCTATCCCCTCCTCCCACCTCAAGCCGCACCTCCATCTCCTACCGACCAACCTCATCCCGCCCCCTTGACCTGTCCATCCTCCCTGGACTGACCTATCCCCTTCCTAACTCCCTACCTACACTCACCTTTACTGGCTCCATCCCCGCCTCTTCGACCTGTTTGTTTCCTCTCCACCTATCCTCTCCTCTATCCCTCCTCTATCTGCCTCCCACACTCTCCCTATTTATTTCAAAACCCCCTTCCCTTCCCCCTTTTCTGATGAAGGGTCTAGGCCCGAAACGTCAGCCTCTCTGCTCCTATGATGCTGCTTGGCCTGCTGTGTTCATCCAGCCCTGCACCTTGTTGTCTCAGATTCTCCAGCATCTGCAGTTCCTACTATCTCGAAGTCATTTGCAGTTGTTTTTGTTTAGCTCAAGGAGTTAATGGCCAAAAACATTAATCAAAGTAAAGAACAATATTCTCTGTGATTTTAATTATGGTGGATTATTCTGACCAACTTCAATAGCTTTGAGCACAATTAGTTCCACCATTATTTCCAAGTCATCAATCTGTTATACAACTCCATGGGGTCTTGGGGAGTGTTGCTGAACAAAGAGACCTTGGAGTGTCGGTTTATAGATTCTTGGAGTTCCAGGTAGACAGGATTGTAAAGGAGGAGTTTGGTATGCTTGCCTTTATTGGTCAGTGCATTGTGTATCGGAGTTGGGAGGTCATGTTGCGGCTGTACAGGACATTGGTTAGGTCACTTTTGGAATACTGCATGCAATTCTAGTCTCCCTACTATGGGAAGGATGTTGTGAAACTTGAAAGGATTCGGGAAAGATTTACCACAATGTTGCCATGGCTGGAGATTTTGAGCTATAGGGAGAGGCTGACTAGGCTGGGGCTATTTTCCGTGGAGTGTTGGGGGCTGAGGAGTGACCTTATAGAGGTTTATAAAATCATGAGCTTGAACAGGGTGTATAGCTAATGTCTTTTCCCTGGGGTGGGGGAGTCCAAAACTAGAGGGCATAGGTTTAAGGTGAGAGGGGAAAGATTTAAAAGGGACCTAAGGGGCAACTGTATCATGCAGAGGGTGGTGTGTGTATGGAATGAGCAGCCAGAGGAAGTGATGGAGGCTGGCACAATAACAATTTGTAGGCGTCTGGACGGGTATATGAATAGAGAAAGGGTTTAGAGGGAAATGGGCCAAATGTTGGCAAATGGGATTGGATTAATTTAGTACATCTGATTGGCATGAATGAGTTGAACCAAAGAGTCTGTTTCTGTGCTGTGTGACTCTATGACTGCTTCTCTCCCAGTTTCATTCTTGGATATTCTATTGTTAGAATGTTTATAACTGTAGTTTCTCTTGCATGTTACATGCCATTATCTCCAGAGTTCCTAAGCAACCATACGTGGCCATTTCTTCTTCATCTGAATCCTTCCACTTGGTAACATTTGCGTATACAGGGCCAGCTTAAAGAATTAGCTGACAATGCCCCAAAGCCACGCTTCAACTTCTTCCTCCTTGCTGGCCTACTTTGTCTGGTATCTCATCTCAGATGAGCTATCGCCACTTTTAAGCCAAACATTGGAAAGATTGAATCTGTCATGTTACACCCATATTATCTTCTTCATTCTTTGTTTTTCAGGCTGAATCTGCCAGTTCAAATTTTGGATGTTCCACTAGCATATTTTCAGCTTCACAAAGGCCACAACTGTTAACGTCAAGGCATAAGGAGCTGTAGTAGAACATATGACCCCTCAAACCTGCTTTGCCATTCGATAAGATCACGGCTGATTAGTTTGTGGGCTTAAAATCCGCTTGCCTACCTACTCCAAACTCCTTATAAACCACAATGACCAAATAACCTTTGAACCCATATTCAGTCAAACGTAGCCTTGACTTAAATAATTAGTCAGCCGTCACTGCTCACTGGAGAAGAGAATTCCAATGACAGTTTCTTGAAAGAAGAAATTACTCCTCTGATGGACTTATTCCATACTCTAACTTCCTTTTTATGTGGGCCTACCTGATGTATTTATCAGATTTTGTGTTCTCAGTATATTTTTTACTACAACCATGACATTGCCTACCTCTGTCCATACCTGCATCCATATTCTGCAGAAACCATCATTGATGCGTCAATTAGCTAAAATCAATGGTGCAATGCTTTCTCAACCTGCCACCTGACCTCCGCTTGTATAATCTTATGCATGTTTAGGTGTACACCATGATCAGAGGTATAGATAGAGTGGACAGCCAGAGACTTTTTCCGAGGGTGGAGGTAGCTATTACGAGGGGGCATAGTTTTAAAGTGAGTGGAGGTAGATATAAGGGAGATGTCAGAGGTAGGTTCTTTACTCAGAGAGTGGTCGGAGCATGGAATGCATTGCCGGAGAGCGTAGTGGAGTCGGCCTTATTAGGGACATTTAAGAGGCTATTAGATAGGCATACGGATGATAGTGTAAGGTCGGGGTGGAGGTTAGATAGACCTTAGGATCAGGGTAAAAGTTCGGCACAACATCGTGGGCCGGAGGGCCTGTAATGTGCTGTACTGTTCTATGTTCTATGTTTTATCTCCTGCTCATATCCTACTCCAAGTTCTATTTTCCTAGTACTTGATGCTTAATAAGACACGAGCCCATGCTGATGGGGGTAGGATATTAACACAGATAGAGGATTGGCTAATAGAAGATACAGAGTTGGGAAAAGGGGGTACTTTTAGGATGGCAAGCTGTAACTAAGGGACCAGTGCTAAGATCACAAGTATTTACAGTATGTTATAATGACTTAGATAATGGAAGTGAATGTCCTGTCACCAGGTTTGCAGATGACACAAAAATAGGTGGGAAGGCAAATAATGAGGATGACACATGGAGTAGTCAGATGGATACAGATAGGTCAACCGAGTGGGCAAAAAACTTAGATGGAATACAGTGTGGAAGAATGAGAGGTTATGCACTTTGGCAGGAAGAGTAGAAGAGCTGAATATTCTTTAAATATGGAAAGACTGCTGACAGCTTCCACACGGAGGGATTTGGGTGTTCTCTTGAATGATTCTCAAAAAGCTAGCAGAGCCATCAGGTAATAGGAGAGGCAAGTGGAATGTTGACCTTTATTTCAAAAAGGAATAGAATAGGAAGGTCTTGCTAAAATTATACAAAGCACTGGTCAGAGCACATCTTGAATATTGTGAACAGTTTTGGCTCCCTTATCTAAGGAACGATACACCATCATTCGAGGCAGTCCAGAGAATGTTTGCTGGATTGATCCTGGGTATGGAGGGATTTTCTTTTGAGGAGAGGTTGAATGATTTGGGTTTGTATCTATTTGCGTTTAGAAGAATGAGAGGAAACATTATTGAAAGATGTAAGATTCTTAGGGGTCTTGACAGGGTAGATGTGAAATGGTTGTTCCCCTTGTGGAAAGTCTAGGCCTAGTGGGAATAATCTCGCAGGAAAGGGTCGCACATTTAAGACAGATGAGGAATAAGTTTTTCTCTGAATGTGGTCAATCTGTGGAATTTTTTTTGAGGGCTGTGGAGTGTGGTAGTTAAGTATGTTCAAGGCTGAGATGGACAGATTTCTAATCAGTAAGAGGATCAAGGTTTATGGGGAAAAGGCAGGAAAGTGGAGCTGAGGATTCTTGGATCAGCCATGATCTCATTGATGGCCGACTTCTTTCCCTGTGTTATGGTTTTATGATCCATAGACCTTCTATTCTATTTCTCTCCATTGTGGCTGTCCTTCTGATAAACTTCTAGTTCCTTTCATTACTTTTTTTTTGCATCTGTCTCTGAAACGCCACCTTTTGTGGCTCTGCATTCTGCTCTCTGGGCTGTGTGATTTAGAATTTGTTTTCCAGTTCTTGCAACCATTTGACTTCTCCACCTTTTGGCCCTGCCAAACCTCATCAGTCACCAAGCTTTTGGTCATCCCACTTAATACCCCTTTCTTTTTTTCTGTGTTATGCTTTTCACCCCTGTGTGCCTGTGAGGTGCTTTCAGACATTTTCTATTTAGCAAGTGCTTTGTAGATCTTGTCTTAATTTGTTTGTTATTTGGAAAGGTTTAGTACTTATAACAGAACTGTGATATTTGGTATATTTATGGGAATTAATATAGAATTTTTTTTTTTAAATCTTGCAGGTGCAATCAAGCAAATTTTAGAAAATGAGTTACAACTTCCTATATCTCTCATGCAGTTGAAAGGTTGGAAGTCAACAGATGTAAGCGACAGTGTAAGTTTATGTTGTTATTTAAACTGTTGTTGGATTTAATTTTTAAATGGTGATTTAAATGACTTTTTGCTTTATGCCCTCTAAATACCTTGATAGAAAAATTAAAGGAAATTTTCCAATATCTCTATAGTCAATAGCTAGTTACCAATGTGTGACAGATTGTTAGGGTTTTTATACATACAAGTAATTTCTGAAATACTTTTAGAAATGGGATTGCCTCAGTAGCATTCCAGATTATATGATTGTTAATCATTTTAGGTTTACTTTGGTTGACTGAGATGGTTGTGATTTGATAGTGAAATGGATAATGATACTGCAAGTTGTTAATCATATTTTCACTCTAATCAATCTTTTTGATAATTTGTATGGAAGTAGTTAAACATAAAACCAACAAGGTTGTTTTTGCCTGAAATATGTGCTTTTGTTTTGCTTTCAGTTGTTGAAATTGGGGGTTTTGGATTGGAAGCTGCTAGATATTGTCGCAAAAAGCTTGAATTCTCTCTCTGTCTGTTGTTATATTCATTCTGTTGGTGTCCCTTCTCCTGGACTGGGAGAGATTGCAAGTGAGGGAAATCTGTTTTGTTGAATTTGCATTTGCCAAGGGCGTGTTTGTGGGATGGTGCTATTTTGGAACAGTTGATTAGTAGTAGTTAAATAATATATATTATTTTGTTAAGAATTTTGCTAAAGCTATGCTCATTCTTTTTTGTTTGTATTTCAACTGTGGTGTCAGAATAAAGTATGTTTTGCATAAAGCCTCGCAGTTTGACCAATCAAATCACACCTGGAACACAGCAATTTACACTTGCCTTGGAATAAAGTAAAAGTTAGGGTCTAAGGTATCTCCTTGAAACGTTGAGAGTTGTTTGGTCTGGTCCATAACATCTTAGAAATTGTTAATAGTCATCGCTGTTTAGTTAGCTACCATCGATTTTAAATGTGAGGACAACCACGTTTTATGTTCATTGTATTAGAATGTTAATGTTTCACACGTAGAAAGAGAGACACAAATACTAATACTTAAGAACCTTAAACATTCAGTTGCTTTACTACTGGGTACAGTGCGGCAGTGTATATGGTATGCAAGATGCAAACATTGTAGCAATTAACCAAACTCTCTTCAGTGGTACTTTCTGAACTTGTGATCTCTAGTAGGGCAGCATGGGGAAGTCTCCATCTGTGAGTTCCCTTCCAACCTGCTCATCAATGCTGACTTAGAACTATGTTATTGTCTCTTCACTGCTGTATCAAATCCTGGACTCTTTCCAACAGCACAGAGTCTGCCTGCACTAGCTGTAATGTTGTGGTTCAAGAAGTTAACTTCATTCAGTGTTCTCTAGGACAATTAGGAATGGCAACGAATGCCTGTTCTCCCAGGGATGCTCAAATCCAGTGAAATAATTAACATTGACCGTAAATTTGCAGAGATGCCTTAGAAAGTCATGAATTGGTATTGTCAAATAACCGTCAAAAGGCAAAAGCACCATTTGTACAGTTAAGCAACCATGGCCAACAAATGAGATTAGAAATTGTATCAAGCTAAAAATGTATGCTGCTGTAAATTTAAGGGAAGATGAAAATCGAAATGACTGGGAGAGCTGTATGGGAAAATTGAAGGGATATAAATAATGAGCTTCATGAAGGGGATATGAAAAAGCTTTCAAGATGTACTAAAACTAACTAAAAATTAGTGAAAAGGAGAGTGTGGTAGAAGGGAATTTGTGGCCCATTAATGTCAGATATGGGAGAATCTATGCTGAACTAGAAGCGAATGAAAGACTTATTAAACAAATAATTTATATCTATCTTCCCAGAGAATAAGAACAAAATATCAAGGGAATCTGTGGAGGCTGTATTTTCAGATTTGCTGATGATTTTGGGCTGTACTGAGAGCTGGCTCTGAAGTCGACTTTCTTTCTTCAGTTTAGCATTTAACTAAATAAATTAAGAGAAGTTAAGTTTTATTTCTATCTTGGGACAAAAGTTTGCAAGCTATCTTGCCACAGCTACAAATAGTTAGAGGTAGCTAGCTTAAAATCGCTTTCGAAAGCTTGAATCAGTTGTTTCCCAGGGATCATATGAAGAGGCCTTGAGAGTCTTGTGGTACAGTGGTAGTGTCTGTCTCTGGGCCAGAAGGTCCAAGTTTGAGCCGCACTGCCCTGGAGGAGTGTCATAACATGTCTGAGCAGCCTTTCTCAGTGTTTCCTTGTCCGCGCTGTGTGTGAAGGGGTAAAGAGGTGCTCCTTTGTTACTTGCCTTTCTCAGCCTTCATAACTGGTTGTTTCCACTGTTAGTGTAGTGCAGAGGAAGAAGTTGATTGGTGAGTATATGGTAGGTTATTCTACTTATTCTACGTACTCTAATTTTAGTAAATAGTTTTTAAAGACATGGTATTACAGCTTAGCTAAGTGGAATCAACATCCTGTGGTATGTGGGAATTCTTGGATGTGACACGTGTTGTAGAAGATGCAGGAAGTGTTATCAGCTTGAGCTCTGGGTTTCTGAACTTTAGCACTGGCTAAAGCAGCTGTGAGGCAGAGAACTGGGTGGGTGGTACATTTAGGAAGGTATTGCACTTTAAGAGCCTATAAGGCAAGGAGGAAATGGGTGACCATCAGAAAGTCTAAGAGAACAACACAGGTGTGCATGAGTCTTTTGAGTTGATCTTGCTTGCTATTTGATTTTTTTTGGATACTGGTGAGGTTAATGATTCCTTACGGGAGTTAAGCCAGAGCCATGTCCATGGCACCAATGGTAACTCAGCTGTACAGGAGGTGATGAAGAAGAGTGAAAGGGCAACAGTGCTGGGAGATCACACTGGTGTTTTTGTGGCAGTAATATGGCTCTGGATTGGTGTTGCCTCCCTTGTGTCAGGCTCATTGAGGAAAGATAAACAGCTAGAGGTAGAGGTCTGCATTGGTACCAACTAATGTGCATAGGAAGTGGGATGAAGCTCTGAAATCAGATTTTAGGCAGTTTGGAAATAAGTTAAAATGCTGGGCCTCGAGCAGTGATCCCAGGATTACACCCAGTGCTTAGTGCTGGTGAGTATTGGAATAAGATAGTTGAATGTTTGAGCACCTGGCTGGAGAATTGGTGTAGGAGGGAGGGCATCAGATTTCTGAGGCACTAGGAAAGACATTTAGACAGGTGAGACCTGTACAAGCTGGATTGGTCACAGCTGAACAGGCCCAGAAATAATATAGTTGCAAGTAGATTTGCTAATGTTATTGTGGAGGCTGAAAAGGAAAAGATGATGCTGTACTGATTGTCAAGGGTGGGATCAGTACATTAGCAAGGGGATCTCGGACTGCAAAATGCCCAATCTGGATGTAGCCAAGAAATGTCAAGGGGCAACAAACACTGTTGGGAGTTGGTTATAGGCCATTGAATAGCAATGGTAGTATGGGACATTAATCAAGCGATTAGACAAGTATGTAGCATGGATAATACAGTAATCATGATTGACTTCAATGTGCATATAAAATGAGTAAACCTAATGAACAGTTAAGTTGCAGAGGATGAGTTTCTGGTATATATTAGGCCACAGTTTGAGCAGTAAATTGAGGATCCAACCAGAGTCTGGGCTATGACAGAACTAATATTACGTAATGTAAATTGTCTAATTTTGCTGTGAAAGAGCCTTTAGGGAGGAGTGACCATTATAAACTAGAATTTTACTTTATATTTAAAAGTGAAGCCAGGGTGTTAAACATGAGCATAGGAAATTATGAAGGTTTGAAGGGTAAATGTGCTCAGATGATTGGAAAAATAAGTTCAAAGGAATGACATTACATTGCCAATGGATAGTCTTTAAAGAAACATTACTTAATTTACAGCAGCTATGATTTCTTCAGGGTGCATAAATCCATAAAATTAACTTAACAATGGCTAGTGAAGGAAGTTAATGATTGTATAAGATTAAAAGAAAAGCCTTATAAAGGTGCCAGGTATAGTCATAATCCTGATGATTTGGAGAATTCTAGGATACAGCAATGGAGTACAAAGAAACTCATAAAGGAAGGATAGAATATGAATGTAATGTAGCAAAAATATAAAAACAAGCTGTAAAAGCTTCCATTGGTGAGTAAAAAAGAGAAACGTTTGACTAAGACATTTGGGTCTGTTACAGGCTGAGTCAGGACTATTTATGATGGGGAATAGAGAGATGGCAGTGATGCTCAATAATTACTTTGTCTTCACTGAGGAAGGTATGAGAAACTCTCAATTAGAGATCAAAAGGGACTAGAGACAATGAGAATTTGAAGAAAATTAGTATTAAGAAGGTTCTGTCAGAGATATTTAATGGGACTGAAGCTGAATAAATTTCTGGGATCTGATTTTCTACATCCCAGAGTGTTTGAAAAAAACAGCTATGGAGATAATAGATGCGTTTCCAAAACTCTCAAGATTCTGGAATGATTCTTGCAGATTGTAAGGTAGCAAATATTATCCCACTATTTCAGAAAAGAAGGAGAGAGAAAAAACGGAGATTACAGACCTGCTGGCATTATATTGGGAATAGGGAAAATGCTAGAATCTATTACAATGGATAATATCTATGATAAATATACACTTGGACAATAATCTGATTCGGCATATCATTATAGAGTCAATCATGGAATACCCTACAGTGTGGAAACAGACCCTTTGGCCCAACAAGTCCACACTGACTCTCAGAGCATCCATCCAGACCCATCCTCCTAATCTACACATTCCTGAACGCTACGGACAATTTAGCATGGCCAATCCACCGAGTCTGCACATCTTTGGACTGCAGGAGGAAACTGGAGCAGCCAGAGGAAACCCACGCAGACATGGGGAGAATGTGCAAACTCCAGACAGTCACCCAAGGGTGGAATCAAACCTGGGTGCTGTGAGGCAGCCGTGCTAACCACTGAGCCACCATGCTGCCCCATAGTATGTATAGATTTGAGTATATAGGATGGGCAGTCATGTTTGATGAATCTGTTGGAGTTTTTTGAGGGTGTTATCTGGAT